TTCATTCTTTCGCTGGTCTAGTTCCTGAACACTGTGCTAGCTTCTACTTTCTACTGAACCCAGGGGCAAGAGGAGAGAATCAATGATATCTTGCATTCATATGTTCAGAATGCCACCATTTTCCCCCTGAAAAATAGAAATATAAAAGCGTGGAACTAGTATGATCTGTTGACATAATGGGTGGGGAGTGGCTAGCAATAGTTGCTTTTCTGTGGTGAACCTTATTTTGGATCAGTTATCATGTCCCATTTACGTCTTGGCTCGATTTCTGTCGTTTTCTCGGGTCCGGTCCCCGATCGTCTTCCCCGACGGAGAAGAGGGCGGACTCCTTTCCTGAACAGCTGGTAATCAAGCCTACACATCAGGAGAAGCCTGAGAAGGGATTGGGGGACTGAACAAATCCTCATGCAAAAGTGGTGAACTTGTTTATTGGAAATTTTAAACAAGAATATACGTTAGTGTTAAATGCCGACTGCAGACAGAGGGTAAAATGCAGACTACAGACCAGGGCTAAAATGCAGAATGCAGACTACAGACTTTTTAAGTATATATCAAGTTATTTCCATTATCGAGTACTGACCATAAACAGGATTATTCAGGCTAATCGCAGTGAAAGTCTGCACTCCGTTTAGCCTGAATATCACTCCGCTTAACCTGAATATCACTCAGGTTAGCCTTAATAATGCTCCGGTTAGCCTGTTGACGGTTAGCTTTCAATGATGGAAATGGTAAGACGGTTCAGTTAAAAAGATTGTAGTCTGCATTTTATCCCCGCTCGGCAGTCTGCAGTCTGCGTTTTACACAGACCGCGAGAGTACATAATTGTTAATACAGTGTACCCAATTAGCCTACATGGGCTAAATACATTGACACTTAAATAAAGTTCGTACGTACTTACATTTCAGAATCTTGATTTTGGCTTGGCGTAGTTTTTACACCCGTTTCCGTTTGCGTGCATAGCAGCTGTCTTTCGACATGCCATCTCTCGACATTGCATGCCTGTGTCGAAAATGTAAGCACAACGGATTCCCTTCTTTACGGTCGAACCCCAATTTTAGTCATGAAAGATGGATTTATTTGACATCAAACTAAAGTTAGGAGTATCAAGAAGTCATTCCGTGGGAGTTAAATCGACTGTTTTGAACGCGGACCAATTCTACCTGAAGTCACTATTGAGAGCTGAATACAGGTGTAATAGAGTAAAATTTAGTTATACCTTTTACGATTAATATCAGCGCTAGAGAACGTCATCCTGACATCATTACCAAGAAAGAAATAAAAAAAGTAATGGCGAGGTTTGTTTCTATTTATGTACAAGCGAGGTATTAATTAACAGAGATATAAGTTTGATATTATTTGATATTTTGTGATTACCACCTAGATCCGTCTTTGAAAGGCACGTATGAAGATGAAAAGAACTTACTACACTTTGCTTCGCAAGGTGGTAGTGTCGCCGTCATCGAGACAATGCTGTCACGTGGTCTTGATATCAATTCAAAAGATAGTAATGGTGACACTCCATTGATGATTGCGGCTACGTTTGGCAAGATGGAGGCCGTAAACTATCTTTTAGACATGGGAGCAGATCCGTCTTTGAAAGGCAGGCGTGGAAGGAACTTACTACACTTTGCTTCAGCGGGTGGTAATGTCGCCATCATCGAAACAATGCTGTCACGTGGTATTGATATCAATTCAAAAGATAGTAATGGTAACACTCCCTTGATGGTCGCGGCTGTGTTTGGCAAGATGGAGGCCGTAAACTATCTTTTAAACAAGGGAGCAGATCCGTCTTTGAAAAACCAGTATGGAGAGAATTTATTACACAAGGCTTCCTATGGTGGTAATGTCGCTATCATCAAGACAATGCTGTCACATGGTCTTGATATCAATTCAAGAAATAGTAATAGTGATGTTCCATTGATGTTAGCGGCTTCATCGTGCAATGTGGAGGCCTTAAACTATCTTTTAGACAAGGGAGCAGATCCGTCTTTGAAAGGTCAGTATGGAAGGAACTTACTTCACCACGCTTCCTATGGTGGTAATGTCGACATAATCGAGACAATGCTGTCACGTGGTCTTGATATCAATTCAGAAAATAGTAATGGTGA